ACTTGTAAGGGTGTCAGCGAAATGGTCCTACTAAGTCGATCTGAAGGATGTCCCCAGGGAACGAAGTTTGCGTTGACAATGGTTGTAGCTGCGAACGAAGCTGGTTAGTGGTTGCTCGTTTTGTTTGTAGACAAGTTGAACATTTTTCCACGAAGTTTACGAAAAATTCTGAATCCAGGAAAGAAGAATCGGTTTCGGAACTCCATTATCGTTCGCTCGGTTTCTATGTGTCCAGCAGTTGTCGAGTTATGTATTCAGTGCACTACTTCTTGTCGGAGATGTTTTGGTAAGCATAACTTTTTCACGTTGATTGTTCCCTTACGAGGATTCCATTTTGAGTATTGCGTCGTGATAGTTGTTTGTTGTATTTTTTGAGCTCGAAGTTGCTGTATGTGAGGTTGGGCGTGGAATTTTTGGTGATCCACTCCTTTACAGAATTGATATTAGCGTCTTTGTTCTGTTCCACTTCCAGCTTATTTTGATTATGATTTAAATCACATTCGTCCAGTGTGTTTGGTTCCATGATTGCTTCTAAGTGTCCGATTTCGTGTTTGAGCTTTAGTTTCGCCGTTATTGCTTCATCACAGTGCTCTTGTTCTCGCACTTGCAGTTGAAGATGTAGGTACTTAGTTGCTGAGCGTTGTAACTCTGCTTCGGCTTCGTTTGGCATTTCTTTGTCGCTCTTCCCCAGTATTTGTTGGAAGTTGCTAAGAGCAACCTCAGGTGCTTTCGAGGTTTAACATGAATTTCTCTGGTGGGGATTGACTCTGACACTTGCAGTTCGATAGCTTCTGATGGGTCAGTCTGCATTCTCGAGAGAAAATCGGCGGCAGCATTAGCTTTTCCGGGTATGTGCCCGAGTACAATGTTGTATGCTAAAATTCTATCCAGAAAGTTCCAAAGTGAGTGTTGAATGGTTTTCGCCTGATAGAACTGTGTGAGGCTTTTGTTGTCCGTGAGCACAAGTTATGGTTTGTCCGCTCTCCAAATGTAATGTGAAAACGCTTCGACCGCGAAGAACAAGGCGAGAAACTCTTTGCAGTATATAGAGAGTTTAAGTTGAGCTTTATTGAACAGCTGTGAACCAAATGTCACTGGGGCGTATACTTCCGTTTCCCGTTTGTCCTGGTGAAAGTCTTCTATCATTAGGACAAAGCCCGCGCTGTGGAAGCTGGCATCATAAAGGATGACAAATTGTTTCTCAGTTTGTGTCATTCGTAACGTTAGTGTGGTTGCTGTGAGTAGGTCGTTTTTCAGTGCCTCTATTCCCTTGTAGTGTGTATCCTCCTTAATGAAAACCGTGTCCTTTTTCAGGAGTTTGTAAAATGGGAGGAACTTCTCTCCGAGGTTTGGTATGAAGTCTCGATAATGTTGTACGAAACCGATTAGTCGTTTTACTTGCTTCGTTGTTTTTGGGATTCTCAGCTTGCTGACGAACTTCATGGCCTTTCCTGTTTCGGGTTGTATTCCAGTTGATGTAATAACTTTCCCCAAGAAAGTTGCTTGAGCTGTTCCGATCTGGCACTTCTTGGGAGACAATTTAAGTCCAGAATTACGAATGCAGGAGAAAAATTGTCGCAAAGATAGAAAAATTCCTCAACAGTTTGCACACCAATGCCAATGTCATCCATGTACTGTGTACTTACATTGATTGCAGGAGATGGGTCTCTTAGATGAACAAGAGTATGCTCTTATGTAGGAGCTGAAACCAGAGTCGGATTTGTTTAGTCCTTGTGCTAAGCACTTATAGGCTTATGTCGTGGAAAACAAGAGTTGTACTGAGAGCTCGTCAGCCATTTGCACGCAGTGGTAGGCTTGTGAACAATCCAGTTCCGCGAAAGGTTTTCCGAGCTAAGTGGTTTTTTGCGTCCTGTTGGTTGGAGATAGGCAAGTTGTAGCTTTTGCAGTCTTGTCGTATGAGATGGTTTACTCTTCTAAGGTCGACTAACAAACGCATTGACTTTATGAATAGTCGTCTGATTTGTCTTTCTCGTTCTCTCGTATGAAATCTCTATCTTTCGGCGTTGGCGTCATTCGCGGCTGCAATTTTGTTTGCCTCTGTGTCTGCATTCAGGGCTGGTTTGGGTGCTGGTAGCGGTTCTGGGATTGAATCTGGGTATGCTAATTTTGCCAGGTTCTGAAGTTTTACCAGGAATTCCTCTGGTGTTTGTGTCTTTGAGTCGTACTTGAGGCTTTCAAGCTCTATCAAGTGGATTTGTCTGAAGTTGGGGTTGTGAAAATGGTCTTTCAGTGCCTGTATTGTCAAACGCTGCATCTTTTAGGTGAATTTTCAGAAATTCGGTGCTTGAGCATTGTTGATGTTGATCACGTCTCTCGTACTTCTGAATACTGATTCGAACTCGTTCGAACTCTCAGAAAGAGATCCCGAAAATTTGCTGAGAGAAACTACCTCGTTAGCCATTTTTGAAAAATAATCAGATTGAGTTTTCCGTCGTTGTCACCATATGACAAGGTGCTTCATAGTTAGTGATTGTATCTTGTGAACTATTGAGTTTAGTCTATTCCAACAAGTGTGGCGGTGTTCTGTACTAATTCATCTATACTAAAGCACTCTCGTTTTTACTGAGAAGTATTTAGTTGCAGGGGCCTAGACGATCTTGTCTTCGAAGCGCGGTTATTCAGGATTTTCTCAAAGGGAGTTTCAACTAATTATTGAATTACTATCTGGCTCTCTCTGATTTTGTTCAACTCTCCGATCTGAGCTATACATAAAGTCAATATTTAGCCTTAATAAACATCCGGTGTAAATATGTATATATATAGTCAACAAAAGTAGATAAGCACCAGATAAGGACGTAAACATTTATGATAAAATATTGACAGCAAATAATTATCATGTTAAATGGGACAGATAGCTTTGAGGTTAAATGAGTCATGATGGCTATAGGCCGTCACAGACCTTCTTTGGAACATTTTTTAAATTACTTAAGAATCATTTTCCAACTAAAATTAATGTCGAATATGCCTAATTTAGGATTTCTATCATATAAGTATAAATTCCAAGCTGACAAAGCTACGAACGAGCTGACAAAAAAAAACGCTTCCGTTTTTCTTGTGGTTGGAATTTTCCGTAGTAATTGCACAGCAACTTGCTATCCTTGTTTCATGTATGTTCATCAATTAGTAATAGAAAAATCAGTTTTTAAAAAAAACTAAATTACATAAGAGGCCCTTCCGTTTAGTTACGGTAGGTGCACAAGCTGGATAGGGCCATACCATATTGTTTTTGTTGTTGCAAATAAGACCAACAACAGAAAAACTCTGCTTCAACCACAAGAACAAACAAGACTGCTCGTATCAGGACGAAGCCCTGAATGTTCCGACTGCCTTTTAAGGTTTATGGAGCAGTAATAACACTTAAAAAATTCAATGAAATAAAACAAAAAGAAAAAAAAATTGAAATTTTTTTTTTATAAAAATCATCCCCCCACACGCCATATAAAGTACAAAAGGATAGATTTAGCTCCTTGTAACAAACCAATTATGGCAAATAGGCTTCTTTTAACCAATTTGGAACGATTTCTAAGATGGATTAACTCTCCGCTTACGCGTTAATAACGCGAAATATATCGCGCGTTAATCGTCCCAAATTGGCCAAAATGCCAATATTTAAATCCCCATAACTTTACGAAAATTTATCACAGGTGAAATATCTTTTCAAATTTGAGCTCAGGACAACAATACCTTTCGAATGATATAAAAAAAATTCCGTCAAAAATGGCTAGTTAAAAAGTCGAAATTTGTCTGAAGAAAAAAAACCCACCCCGAGCACAAATATTCCGTTACTTTCGTATCGAAAGTCGGAACAATTATCTTTAGCCTTTAACCGCTCTCTGTTGAAAATCCAGTGAGCACACCATTTTTGACATCACTTTCTGTGAAAATGTCGGGTACATCCCATTGAAAATCTTCTTCCAAATATAGATCCCCAAATCGCAAATATCACACTGTGGGATTGGGGAGAGAATGTTATAAAAATTTTGTCACAATTTCGTTTAGTTACAAAACTATATATTTATTTTACACTTGTTACAATTGTTCCGACCACTTCATGAAGAGCGAAGGAGCTATTACATAGAGTAAATATTTAAAAGGAAGCTCATGGGGTAAGTGTAAAGTGTGGTATCATATTAAAGCCCTTCCAGCCAGCCCTGATACGGATTATTAAAAAAAAAACAATGCTAATTTTGAAAAAAACAATTCGATTTAACACATCACAGACCAATATCTCTAAAAATTGAAACAGATGTTCAAGATGGAAAACCAGTCAAAGACAGTTTTTATACTTTTTGGTCGGCTGATTATGAGGGTATACAAATATATTAAAAATTCCTTTTTCACCGGAGTGTTTTGCAAATATTGATCGAATGTCTGAAGAAAAGTATAGGCCCCTAACTAGGTTCATACAACTTTGCAACCTACTAAATTTGTCGAGCTTTTTCACAGCGAAAACTATTTGCAAATACGGCTAACAACAAAAAAAATTAAAGAACAAATGACCTTAAGCCTTTAAAAAATCCGCAGAAAAGCTAGCGGTGAGTTTTGATTCAAGCTATCGCGGGTGGCAAATCATCTGCCTGGAAAAATTGACTTCGTCAACCCCGTGGTGCTCAAAAACACTTTAATGTGGTCTTACCAATGGAGTAACTCGACGAGGCAAACCCATGCACATGGATGCTGTTTTCTGATCGTCGAAACTAAGGATATATGGTTGATATTCTAGCAAGATGCGAACCCGGAGCAGTCCCATCAGATTTATTCTGAGAAACCACAACAATTCCAAAAATTTGACCATGTCGAGACAAACAGCGTTTTTTTCAATTTTCAGACCAATTTGGAACTTTTCGGTACCGCAGTGGCCGGTACAGCAACTGTTTCTCCTTATACAAATTCTTCAATTTTTAGATTTCATTGATTCGAAAATCCATTGACTAGTTGTGGTATTTCTGAAAAATATATCATTTCTAATTTTTACTTACCGGAATTCAAAATATTTTCTACGATCTCTTTGTGACCATAACCAGCAGCAATGTGCAATGAATTCGATTTATAACTGGGCTTTTCATGTGATTGCAGATTGACGTTCGAAGACAACTTCATTCTGCCAGGTTCGATAGGAATCGAAGAATTAATGATAGCAATATCGTATTCCAACATTGACGGGAGACTACACCACTGATCGAACATTCATTAAACGAGGTTTTTAACCACATCCATGCAATCGTCGAAGCTTCAAAAGCTTAGTAGAACAGCTCAGTCCAAGGTCCAATCTCATATCTTAAAGAAAAAAAACGTAAAATTTGCAATTGTTTCAAAGCAATCAAAAGAAGGCAAATTTTGGATCAATTGAGCAATCTCCCCCTCTCCACGCGTGGGGGGATATAGCTCATTAGATACTTCGGACGGGTCTAGGACAACAAGCCGACGGGACTTCAAGACGAAGGGACTTCAAGCCGAAATTAAAACTTTACAAGCACCTCAAAACACTATTTTATCATCTGTAAAACGTTATTTTTCAAAAATTTTGGCAAGTTTAGCCCATAAAAAACGTTATTCATGACAATGCACCGCTTGTGATTGGCATCCGTTGATAACATCAGCCGGTTTTTGAAATGCATAAATTATAAACTTGAAAAATGCCTTCAACCATGTTTTACTTTCCAACTTTCCGAAACATCATTTGAGGGCTTAAATTTTATGAAAACGCCAATAACTTGTGAAGAAAGATCATGAAATTCGTAAACTCTTCAAAATAGTTTTCAAATTAATCATATTTCACTAGTTTATAAGGAACTATTCGGCTTGAAGTCCCTAATTTTACGATTCGGCTTGAAGTCACGTCGGCTTGATGTCCGGCACTCACTTCGGACATGTTAAAAGTCACTTGAACAAATTTGAAGTCATGAACCAGATTCTCTAACGAATGTGGAACGCCAAACTTTATAATTCAACGCTCAAAAACTATATTCAGAGTGAAAAAAAAACTGGGCACATAAAGCGATTTTTTCTGTCCTAAATTTTACCATTTACGACAGAAAAAAGTCGCTTTATGTACCCAGTTTTATTGATTCTTTTTTCACTCTGAATACAGTTTTTGAGCTTTGAATTATGAATTTTGGCGTTCCGCATTCGTTAGAGAATTTGGTTCATGACTTCAAATATTTTCAAGTTATTATAAACATGTCTGAAGTATCTAATGAGCTACATGGCGTAGATCATTAAGTTGCTGAGTACCGTTTTTGGTATTCAGATACAAGGCTAGAGTGTTATTCTTATTTTCAGATACCTGATTGTGTATCCCGTTGTGCCTCAATTAAAGTATCTTTAAAGACTACATTAATTTTTAACAATGGTAGCAGGATTGTTATAAATTCTCTCTATAACAATCCATATCTATAAATTCTCTCGCTAACTTGACACCGCCGTCCTTCCTAAAATGGCTACTCAAACAAACTGCCTTATTCCAGACAAATAAACTGCCAAACTTCCAGACAAATTAATTTTAAAATGTTTAATTAATTTTAGAGGTTAAAAGTATTTTAATCTTAATAGTAATTTAGAGGTCAACTGTGATTGGCTAATTTTTTATCATGATGGTTTAGAACCAAATTGTATGTGATTTATTGAAAATAACATTTGTAAATTGATGTTTTATCGTCATTTAGAGTAGTTTATTGTAAAAATCCTGACGATGCACATAGTTGCGAAAACGTTTGAAATTTACTTTTTAGCAAAAATTTCTTCTCTTATTTATAAAAGCAGCCTGCGAGGCAGAGGTGTTTGGTGCTTCACATGCCCGGGCTACATGCATGTAAAATGCAGCGGCCTAGCCCGCAGCAGTGATCACTTTGACGATTTCAGTTGTCATCGCTGCACCTCCCAATTTCATTCAGCTAACGACAAGCATGAATGCAATCCCCCAACCCTAACTACAAACTTGCTCCCCCAAATGCACCCTCACCCTTCCACTGCCCCACACTCACAAAACACAGGAGAGTCCTCCACTATAGAACCTAGAGCAATACAAGACCCACGGTCAAACCCCTGTCCAGAACTCATAGAAACCACCAGGAAAATATACACCGAAGTGGTCCACTGGAAACCGGACTTTATGATCTCGTCAAAAAATAAAGTTGGTTATACTTTCATTGAAACCCTCAATAGAACTTTGAACAGCCTGATAGAAAACAACGAAAATACCTTCGCAATGCACGCAGCAATGATTTTTCCACACTTATTACTGTGCAAAACAAAGTCCGAAATTGATGGATCTTTATCCAAAACATTAGCAAGGCGACTTAAGCAATGGCAAGACGGAGACCTGGATGGACTATATAGTGAAGGAAAGGCGCTGCAAATGCGCTTGTTGAAAGGAAGTAAAAGAAAAACTGAAACTGAAGCACAACAGTTCAACAAACTAATGAGTACTGGAAAAATATCAAGCGCAATTGCAAAACTAACAGACACATCTAAAGGCGTCCTTTCGCTCGACGAGATTGTCAAAGGTAAGACAGTAGAACAGACTCTCATAGAGAAACACCCACCATCTAAACCAATTGATGAGAACTATATTACACCAGTCTCAAAAGAAACAATTCCTTTCCATCCATCGATATTTGATCAGATAAACGGTCAACATATCAAGAAGGCAGCCATGAGAACGCACGGATCGCATGGACCATCTGGCCTCGATGCAAATGAATGGAGACGTATTCCAACACACTTCGGACAACAATTAGTTCAAATTTCAAAAACAATTGCTAAAATTGCCAAAAAATTGGCCACAGAAGAACTAAATCCAAAACTAATGGAAACATATGTGCCAGTCGGTCATATTTGGAAGTTTGACCTTGAGAGAAGAAAAAAACACTTGATTTTGGAGTGAAATTTAATTTTTCAAAATTTCGAATGGAACCTGTCATGCACGATTTTCTCGCGAGAACTGAAAATCAGAAAAAGAGATCAGAACAATTTCAGAACAGTTGAATAACAATCGCGGGAAAGTTGCTAGAAAAATCGGTGGGAAATTGCTATTCGCAATTTCAATAGCAATAATAACCTAGAGAAGAGCTGTCCCATCTGAAACAGAGACGAGAGCATTCCCACGAATTGGATTGTTACGATTGGAATACTATTATTGACTGGACTAGAGTGAACCTTCGGTGGAAAGGTGGACAGCTTGAGTGTCCCAATGGTTCACGAGAACTTGCAGTCTAGAGTAAAAACTTGTTCTTGTTGTTAAAACTGACTAACATTAAACTCATATTAGTTACTTTATTAATTCTTGAGTTGTTTACCGACTTATTTACTTCCTGGTTCTTGAGCGTGCTACAATGTGAGTACTTAATTTAAATTCCTAGAGTGTGTTTTATAATTGTGATGTTGAGGTAAGGCGAGTTTTAGGTTGATCCATCTGAAATGGATCAAAGTTCCACTGTCTAATAAAAAGTAACTTAACGGATTGTTCCAACCCGGTTTTTAACGGCGTTCATGTATTTTGGGTATCTAGAGACCTAAGTATGGGGACGTTTCTAATTCTAGAGTGGGGGGATATTTTAGTAGTAGCCTTTAAGCTGTAACGGGTCGTAGTCTCATGTCACAAGCGAACCGAACTGGCTCCGACCGTTCTTGAGGTAGAAAAACACAAGAGATAGTGTCCCTGACCCTTGAGCCAGTGGTTATAGGGCCTATTTTTCTTAAGCCTCATGTGTGACTGCAGTAGACGAATGTTACATAGTGTTTTTATGGCGCTCCTGGGTGTTTACGACATCAAGACTACGGAGTCGAACCCACTTGAGACAGCTTCGGGCTGAATGCCCATTCTAGAGTACCGGCGGTACGGTTCGACAGGAACGTGCAAACCTTCCGGTTGTACCGTGATAGCTTTTTAAGAAAACTCGAGAAAATTTCCTGGTACGCTCTCCGAACGAGGCTTAGCTAACCGAGTAAAGGGGGGCAACTAGGGGGACAAAAACACGAGCAAAAAGACAAAAAGCAAAACAAAAACCAAAAAAGAATAGAAAAAGGAACAAAAACCATAAAACGAAAAAAGACAGTGACTTTGACACCAGATTAGTTGGATCAAACCTTTATATTAATTAAATAGTATACCCATACTGTTTTACAAGTTCGATCGTTTCGATCAACCTAGCAATTTAAACCAGTAAACTGAATAAAGTGCCCGAAGTGGGGCGTCGTCAAGGGTTTTCAGATAGCTTGGAACTTAGCTGGACCAATAGGAGACTTGACTGGAAGAGGTGACCAGCCGAGTGGGAAAGTGGTTCAGGGACACTTGAGCTGAACCAATAGGAGACTTGACTGGAAGAGGTGACCAGCCGAGTGGGAAAGTGGTTCAGGGACACTTGAGCTGAACCAATAGGAGACTGGACTGGAACAGGTGACCAGTCGAGTGGGAAAGCAGCCAAGAAGGATTTGGCAATTCTCGAGTTCTCAAGTTGGGCAGAACGGGTATCGTTAGAATCCACATTACATTATAGGAGATAAGTGTAAAATTGGATAAGCGAAATCCCCCAGTTTTGAGGAACGTTTTTACTTGAGCAGGCCTGGAAACAGGTCTACGGTTTTCTCTTGAGAGGTTTAGCACCCGGCGCTCAAAGTAATTTTTAGGCTTAAGAAGGGGGGCTAGAAAGGGGGGAGGTTAGAAGGGGGGCTGGTTAAGTTAGAGGTTGGCGGTTGTAAATTGTAAAAAGGGGGAAATTAGAGTAACTAATTAGTCGACATCGTTGACTTAGTTACATTAGAAATTAACACGCGTTGGTAATATTAGGTGAAGATCCAAAATTCAACTCGAGTTAAGACTGGTACGCTGGTTGGTTTGGTAGGGGGGACCGGATATAGACAGCTTTTGTGATACCCCATAAGATCACTAGTGGGGGGAGGAAAACGCGTGGCAATTAGGTACCAGACATTTTTTTTAGACAAAAGGTAGACATTGGTCACCTTTGAATTTCAGGTGGGCTCATTTTTCTGTTTTTATTATTTTTCTTACTTAGATTTTTGTTGCATTTTAGTGAGGATTTGTGTTTGGTTTTATACGAACAGGTGATCACAAGATACCTGCGCACCTACATTGAAATAGAAACAACCAAAAGAAGAGGGGGGTCAGCATTTGGCTTTTAAGAGAGGGTTTTTGGGAAAATTTTACTAGAGCTTGAGTGGTGGTACAAGGTACGGTGATTCAAGAAGACCCTACAACGAGGAAGACACTCCGTGACGAGTATTGGGACAAGACCGAAGAAGTCTTGGGACAGAG